TTAAGAAAGAAAGCAGATCTCCCAAAAGCAGAGGGGCCCTAAGAGAGGTATATTCTGAGTGGCCATTGTCTAGAAGTTTATATGAATCTACAGAGTTAAGGGAGCTAGCCCCCTACCAAATTTTGGGTAAGGTGCTCAGCAACCACAAGTTCTTCACGTGTTCATGGTCCCATCAGGTTATCATGGCCCTCTTTTTTGATGGGGCTCCAGGTACTGGATGGCAGATGTCTCGCTACCATTTTTTTTCCTGCTTATGCAGGAGTCAGCCTGACCTTGATGTGGCCTATCTTGTGTCTGTAGTCTCTCAGCTCTGCTGGGATTTTGAAGGAGTTCAAGTTTCCTCCCTCTTCATTTTAACTCTTTCTCCTGCCTCAACATCACCCACCCACCCTGGCAGAACAAGCTCTTTTCCTGTGTTCTGACACCTCCTACAATTCACATCCAATGTCACCACATACAACATATCCCACAGGGAAGGGAATTGCATCACACTGATATCCGTGCACCCAGGGAAGCACAGGACCAGGCACAGAGGACATCGTTGAGAGACTGGGGCAGGGAAACATCGGAAAGCCTGGTTCTTTGAGAACAGCTGAGAGAACTAGAAGTGCTCAGCCTGGAAAGAAAGAGACTTGGAAAGAATCAATCCCAGCCCTTCATAGGTGAAGTCAGGTCTTCTTGAGGAAGGAGTGTATGACAGAGCTGAGTAACAGCATGATAGAAAAGCCTCACCTGAGAGGTAAGGTGGATACTCCTTGGAGGTTATGTGCTCCTCATGCCAAAGTCTGTCCTGTGGACTTGCTGCCCAGGCTTTAAGAGCCCCAAGCCTTCTACTCCCCTTACCCACCTTCCTATGCTCAAAGAGCCAGTTATGTTCAAAGAGCCAGTGGGTGGGGCCAAATAGGAAGTGTTGGCGGGCTTTGAGCGGCCCCACCTATGCAATTAGTGATGGGCTGCTTTGAACAGCAGCAGAAGCAGGCCAAGCAAGAAGGAGCCCAGAGATGATGTTCATGAATTTGGAAGGGCTCAATGCAGAGATGCTCATGGAGCAGCAGCTTCTGGGTCACTCACTGTACCCCAGTGTCACTGACTTCTGACCCCCACTGCTAATGATTTGGGGTGATTGTCCTACCTACCTGTGGGATAAGAAGGGTAAGGACCAAGCTCAACCTCAAAGTCCAGAGTTGATTAACCTTCTTGATCCACCTTGGGAGTCAGTGAGAGCAAAGCTTTAGCAGCTGACAGTGGTAATGCATGCACATACCCGCACGCATACACACATGCACACACACACACACACACACACACACACACACACACTTCACTTTCTCTGTATTGTTCACAAATATTTAGTAAGTACCTATTATGTGCCAAGCAGGAGGCTAATTGATGGGGCGAACCTTTAAGAAAAACAAACAAAAGCCCCAACTTCAAGGAAATCTTAATCCAGATTACCAAATGTTCAGTGGGTGTGACCGCTTGTACCAGTACCATGATTTCAGTGATGAGAAACTGATTAGACAGAGGTAAATGATGTGATCAAGGGAAATGAGGCACTGAGAGTCCAAGATAATGTTAGAACCCTTCTTTGTTGGACTCCCAAAATCCCTGCTCCACCTGCTTCCAAAATGTTCCCTGGGTCTTTTCATATCTACTCATATGTAGCCAGGAGCTTATCCTCTCTGAGCCTCACTGACTTTTTTTCAAATTTTATTTACTTATTTATTCTAATTTGTTATACATGACAGCAGAATGCATTTCAATTCATAGTACACACATAGAGCACAATTTTTCATGTCTCTGGTTGTACACAAAGCAGAGTCCCACCACTCATGTCTTCATACATGTACCTGGGGTAATGATGTCCATCTCATTCCACTGTCTGTCCTAGCCTACTACCTCCTCCCTTTCTCTCTCTCTCTTTTGCCCAATCTAAAGTTCTTCCATTCCACCCATTCTTTCCCCACATCCCCATTATGGATCATCATCCTCATATCAGAGAAAACATTCAGCCTTTGGTTTTGGGGGATTGGCTTACTTCACTTAGCATCATATTCTCCAACTTCATCCATTTACCTGCAAATGCCATGATTTTATTCTCTTTTAATGCTGAATAGTATTCCATTGTGTATATATATCACAGTTTATTTATCCATCCATTTACTAAAGGGCATCTAGATTGGTTCCACAATTTAGCTATTGTGAATTATGCTGTAGTAAACAATATGTGGATGTGTTACTACAGTATGCTGTCTTTAAGTCCTTTGGGTATAGAACGAGGACGGGGATAGCTGGGTCAAATGGTAATTCCATTCCAAATTTTCCAAGAAATCTCCATACTGCTTTCAAGATTGGTTGCACCAATTTACAGTCCCAACAGCAATGTATGAGTGTGCCTTTCTCTCCACATCCTCGCCAGCACTTATTGTTTGTAGTCTCAATAGCTGCCATTGTGACTGGAGTGAGACAAAATCTTAGAGTAGTTTGGATTTGTATTTCTCTAGTTGCTAGAGATGTTAAACTTTTTTTTTTGATTGATTGGATATCCTCTTCTGAGAACTGTCTGTTCAGTTCATTGGCCCATTTATTGATTGTGTTATTTGATTTTTGGTGTTAAGATTTTTGAGTTCTTTATATATTTAGAGATTAGTGCTGTATCTGATATTTGTATGGTAAAAATTTGTTCCCATTCTGTAGGCTCTCTATTCACCTCTTTGGCTGAGAGAAAGTATTTTAGTTTGAATCCACCCCATCTATTGATTCTTGATTTTAATTCTTGCTCTATAGTCTTATTAAGAACGCCAGGGCCTAATCCAACCTGGTGAAGATTTGGGCCTACTTTTTCTTTTATTAGGCACAGGGTCTCTCATTTAATTCCTAGGTCCTTGATCCAACTTGAGTTGAGTTTTGCACATGGTGAGAGATAGGGGCTTAATTTCATTTTGTTGCATATGGATTTCCAGTTTTCCCAGCACTGTTTGTAGAAGAGACTATCCTTTCTCCAATATATGTTTTTGGCACCTTTGTCTAATATAAGATAATTGTAATTACGTGGGTTAGTCTCTGTGTCCTCTACTCTGTACCATTGGTCTACCAGTCCATTTTGGTGCCAATACCATACTGTCTTTGTTACTATTGCTCAGTAGTATAGTTTAAAGTCTGATATAGTGATGTTACCTGCTTCACTCTTCTTGCTAAGGATTGCCTTAGCTATTCTGGGTCTCTTATTTTTCCAGATGAATTTCATGACTGCTTTTTCTATTTCTATGAGGAATATCATTGGAATTTTGATTGGGACTTCATTGAATCTGTATAGTGCTTTGGTAGTACAGTCACTTTGACAATATTAATTCTGCGTATCCAAGAACAAGGGAAATCTTTCCAACTTCT